GAGCGTCGTTTTTTGAACATTTATTTATTCCACGAGCGGTGTCACTAGCTCTCTCAAAATTAGGAAAATGGTATCTGGTCTTTGGATAGGGCTTCAAGTGCCCCCTCTGCATCGGATATCCAGCATCCAAATAATATTTTATTGTTATGAAAGAAACTATTAGTGACAATAATACATGTAACTCATATGTTTAACCTAAACTAAACAAACCTGGAGACGAGTGAGGGAAACGTTGCGCACGATTCCTAGTTGCATAGGCAAAAATACGGGTGTCATGTGCACTTCTTTCCCATCCAGTAATCACAAATGTGAAGCACATGTTGAAGTCACATACTGCAATTACATTTCGGGTAGGTGAACAACTCCGACTAATGTACGCCACCATTTTGTGACTGGGTAGTCGAACATCAACGTGCGTACCGTCAATTGTCTCAATGTAATCTGCTTAGCAGCACTAGAAACTAATTACAATATGAAGTGAACATAACGCAGTAATAAAACTTACCTTGAAATATGGCATGTAACGGAGATTATCAGCAATTCGTTCTGGAGTAGTAGCAAATCATGGGCGATGCAAAGCTAACAAGTGTTTGCAGACCTTTGGATAAGTAACAACTAATTATTTATGAAGATGTTGGAATCGTTTCATAGCTCCTCTAACTAATTTGTTCTGAGATAGAATGTATATTGTTATTACCAACACCTCCCTAATTATCGTTCTGGAAGAATCTTAGAGGTCGTTGTTAAGACATATCTCGTGAAATAGATCTAAAAAACTTAGTGTTGTTATGCGAAAAATATTTCTAAACCTTATTGCATATCAAGTAAGCATCTTACCCACCCATTTATCCCCAACAAAGGAGGACGTCATGCGTGGTGTTCGAGGAATGAAAGAGCGGCAGTACTCCAATAGCAATATGACAATCGCCGCAACCGATGTCATTCTTTTATGACACTCTTGCTGTCAATCCATCCTAAAGAAATTAGTAGTTAGGATATTAAAAAAAGTGTGGAGAAGTAATAGCATAAAAATGACATCAACATATGACTTTAATAGAAAAAATTTGACTTGAAAGCATAAAAATAAAGTATGGATAATTGTTTAGAAAGATTAATAAAAGCTGTCGAAATCCAATACAAAAAAACAAACTGCTGAGATCAACATATAAAACACTCATTCATCAACCAACACACGTAAATATTCAACACGCATCGCAAGCCACAACGTCATAAATATCTGCCTCCGAGTCGAGCCCTCGAGCAATTTAACACATTTTGCGTAAAGTGTGGATCGGCTACAACTTATGGAAGAGTATCCAAAGCTACAATAAAATCTAGGATGGTGTTGCCAGCTGGAGCAGTAGATGGCAGAGCTGAAAAACATTAATCAGTTTATCTACTGAGCTTATCACAAGAGTGTCCTTATCTTTCCTCCTCCCAAGTCTGACCCTCTTTGACTGACAACTGAACTCTTCTGTCTCTTTCTGGTAAGTGTTTGGCCCTTCATCGTGAACCGTTACCTACTCTGGTGGCAAGTCATCTGGTATGCCTGTAAACCCCAACTCACTTTGGTTGAATGCATTCTTACCTGTCGCCACAACCCCCTTGAACATTACGTCCAGTTTATCTTCCAACTCCAGGTCAATTCCGCACAGCTTATAGTTTTAAGCAGTCGGTACTGCCTGCAACGTTCCAGGAGAGAGGGGATATTAGTTATAACAAACAAAAAAGACAATAAGTCAAAGCAAAGTATAATTATTACCTCTAATTTCTCAACCTATCATTCCTCTGAAGCATCAATGGTTCACTTAATGGGATCCCAACCCAACCCGGTGGATCCCCGTTTCAGCTCCTTCCATATATTCTACTCCTTCAATTGATCCCATTTGTTTTTGAATTTGAGTCTATCATAATCCCTTCCCTTTAATTCTTTGAACCTATTCGCAATATTTTGTCAATCTTCCTTGTCAAAATATGTGGTTGGCCTATTTCCGAGCTCAATTTTTTTAATACAAATATTATAAAAAAAAGTTTATTACTTATTTATCCCACATTGCTGACGGACCTTATTCACTCGTCTTAGTCATGTATGTACTAATTGAAGAATACGACAGTTAAAACAAAATAACTTAAAACATGTAACAAACTCAACATTTTAGACTATTAAAGAATGAGAACGAAAAATATCGCATTACAAACCAATAATTAGAAGAGAGAGAATAACAATGAGGGGCTCCATCAATAAACAAAAAAAAACAAAAAACAGAAATCATTGTAAGTGAGATCTCCATCCAGAAAACATCCTTCAAAACATAGTATAATAAGAAAAAATTTACAAGAAAAATGCATGATGTAACGGGAAATAGTGAGAAAGCTAATATCAGTGGCAAAAGCAAAAGGTGGAAACGACTGAAGAAAAAAAGCAAGGCAAAATCACATAAAGACAATAAATACAGTTCTATTGGAATTTTACCTTCTAAATTCAATGCCACCACATATATTCCCATAAGAAAATTATCATCAATATTAGCATTACATCAAACTTTACTAGAAAATAATTATGTTTCATACGTAATTTTCCTCGTGAAACGATGGTACATATATTTTTTCCATCTAGAATTACTTACCCAGCCTCTGTGGAAAATGTGATGAAATTTTGTTGGATTATCTTCACATCTCATACATATTTTCCAGACAAGAAAAAAACCACTTCTTATCAATCAAATAATAAAATTACTATACATATATATATATATATATATATCTA